AAAGGTTTGAAATTAAATTAAATGAAATTAATATTAATATTACTCAAGAAGCATGCATACAACTAATACAGATACTCAAGAAATACACATCCTGTAACGGTGAACTTAAACTACTCCAATAACAAACATCCCAATGATCAAGTTATCGTAAGAGCTTAACCAGTAAAATATTGAAAGTGGGTGAGGGTGGCACTACAGGAAATCATATTTGGAAAGGAATCCTGACTTCCAACCAAAAAAGGAATTCCTTAAAAGACCTCTGAGCTTTTATTTTTGTAAGTTTAGTGATGGTCTCGATATCATTGTGAAGTTTATTTCACCTGTACTTGGTGTTTAACTGCAGTTTTTATTTTTTTTTATTCGATCTCTGCACTTCAATTGCATCTTGACTCAATAAGCTAAAAACACAGCATACTTTGCGTAACTCAATGTCAATTTCCAGGTCAAAATTCACACTCCTTCGAGTCACAACTCAGTCAAATCTGAAGTAACAGACATAACCAGCTTATGTTTTACAGCATAATACATTTCCATACATCTGCAATCATAGAAAGAAGAAAACCCTAAAACTCCAAAACTTGACGTTTTAAAGTTTTTTCCGAACCAGAGTAATCTTGTGAGAAATGACCGTACATCCATGGGCACGTTGAAAACACGAAATGCTAACAGCTAAATCAGCTTACTTTTATCGGTGCCAAAATGCCAAAAATATAGCCTAAAAAACGTTTTGCTCAAGTTGCATCCAACAACACTTACTCCATAGTATAATTAAACTTCCTGTCAACACCCTCGAAAACATTACAGAAACCTATAGTTTGAGTATTCCCCTAATAGAAGCAAGACGTACATTAGACACAAAGCAATTGATTTTTCTTGTCTCTCACATAAGTATTAGTTGCATTTTTTGTAAATTCCTTTAAGGAGGGGACAGTCAGTGTTGCAAACTTGCCGACGTTTTGTGACTTAACTAAGTTGGAGCTAGTACTGCTCGATACTTCCTTGGAAAAGATTTGGAAACAATGGGCTGTTTTTTTTCCAATGATACTCAGGATAGCTTTAATAACACCTTACACACATTTAAAACATATATTTTATATAGTAAAACGTTTAATTATAGAATTCTACTTAATTTATATTTTTAGGTTTTTTTTAAATTAAGGGATCTCAAGCTAGAATAATAAAAAAAAGTCTTACTTCTCTGATGATACTAAGCATAGCTTTAATAACACCTAACACACATTTTGAAATATTTCAATATTAAGTTAAACAATTCTACTTAAGTTATGTTTTTAGGGGGGTCCGTTTCTGAAATTGAGGGATCTCGAGCTACCAAACACCTTGATTTAAGGGTTAAATTAAAGGTTTATGGGGATTTCTGAGTTCTTGCTTGTCAGGAGGGGATTATGACGTTAACATGTGAAAGATTGAAGAGGAGAATTGATTTTCTAATGGTGGGTAATCATTACAGTATTGGATTGCGTTAAAGCGACGCACTCTATCTGGCAGGAAACGAGGCGTCAACATTACCCCGAGCCGAGGGGCTGACGGAAAGTCGACCTCAGGCCACTGCGTCTCATGGATGTTTAATTATCCTAATTAACTACGGAGGGTCGTATTGAGCGGCTTCTTCTTCTCTGCTGCAGGTTGCATATTTACAGGACTACAATGAAACTGTCAACGGATGTTTACAACACACAGTAACATGCAGCATTTATAGCCTACTTACAGGAAGCTATGAGGCAATAATTCATTCATTATTACATTATGCTACTGTAAGCTTTATACAATGCTAATTCATCACCTGAATTATGTTTTCTATCACTATAATGAGGTAAGTTTCTATTTAACATACCTGGCTAATTGTTTTTTGTGTACAAAATGTTCACTGACAATGTTTTCTTTTCAGCTATACACAAACCAATTTGCATTTATGATTAAGATTCAGCGAAGATTGGTCAAATACAGTGTTGTTTCGTAAAATAAGTACATTTATTGCAGCATGCTAGGTAAATTAAGTTCTGTACTTATGTTCAGTTTTTACTTTTCATGCTATTTTATCACAATTCAAAAATAAAATTATACCTTCTCCCTCGGGATGAATACAATTCTTTCGTTTACCCCATTGTATTTATCTGACAGTTTACTTTACTTGTACATTGAAAGCAAATGACACGCTTAAAAAAACAACAACAATGTAATAGAAAATAATAATTCAGCGGCTTCCAACCCTCTGGCTTTTTATCCGTAAGGCTGTATTACATTAACCCTTGCTGCATTTCAAATGACTTATTTACATTTTCGCTTAAAATACATTTCTTCTCCTAACCTCTCACATGGTTTAATGTAAATACATTTAGCATCTGCATTTAACCCAGAGTATAAGGAGCAGCGATGGGGATTAACATTTGTTTATTTCATTTTTCTACTTCCTTTCAGAGCTTGCATCCCTCTCTACAGCACCAAACTAAATCTGCAACAACACACATTTTATCTGCTTCACACACAGGTTTTTATTGGCCTTGGGGACCAGATTTTTTATCATTACTTCTGGGGACCACCCTTTCTAGAAGTCCCTTGTATGAAAAACATGTGGTACAAACATACACCCTCACACACACATACTGTTTTGTGTGTGTATTGGAGACCACATGTATGATCATCACTTGCGGGGACCAGCCTTTCTAGATGTCATAGACCCAAAAACAATATCAGGTAAAGAAACTACACAAAGACTGACACACACAGTGTTTCTTATATGGATTTAGGACTACATTTTCATCAGTTGTGGGCCCCACCCTTTCTAGAATAGATAAAACAGATATAAACACACATACACACATGGACAAAGACACACACACACACACATACCATGTATACATCACTTCAGGGGACATTACATTGACTTACATGCATTTCCTGGAGACTTATCCTAACCTTAACCTTAACCAACACATGCCTTACCCTAACCCTTAACCTAACCAAGTCTTCACCCTCAAATTAATGATGCCCCTTATGGGGACCTCCAATTTGTCCCCATAAGGGAAGCCAGTCCCCACACATGACTATGTAAACAGATTTAGGTCCCCACAAGTATAGTAATGCTAGACCACACACACACACACACACACACACACACACACACACACACACACACACACACACACACACACACACACACACACACACACACACAGACACAGACTCAGTGGTGTGTGTGATGACGGTGCTGCAGATGTGGAGCCTCACTAACACACAGATCTCCATCTTGACAGCAACACACTGATCAAAGTGTTATCAGCAGCTATTCTCGGAGCGCTGACGCCGTTCTTCTGATGTTTCCCTTCTATCTGCCCGCCTGTATTTACCCAACACCTGCCTCAAATCCTGTTTGGTGTGTCGGACATGTTTGTGGAGGATTTGGCCCTCGATGGCCTCGTGTTCTCCAGAGAAAGTCCTCCTGAATCAGGGGGGGATTACATCCGGCTGCAGGTTCACTGCAGTCAGCACTGAGCGACTCAGAGAGAGATTCAGCAGCTCATCATTTACAAGTTGAGACCTGCATTCACTTTTAACAAGGTCAGAAGGAGAGGATTCAAAGCTTTATTTGTCACTTGCTCAAGACATACAGCGCAGTTTCGGCCATGACAATCTTGAGGTTAAGCTCCTCCAACAATGCAACATAAAATACACTTAACATAAAAGTAAAAGACATAATATAGTGCTGTAAAACTACCTTGGAAACAAATGCAATATTCTGATCTGTATTAGTGTGTACGTGCAACCGATTGAAAGTCAATGTTGAATTGTTGAATGAAAGGTTTTGTATTCAAACTGTCTGTGGCTATATGGCATGAATCTGTTCACAATTTATTTTGGTGTAATTAGAAAAACAAGCTTCCATCTAGTAATTCGAAGCCGTGCTTTTTTATAGTGGCCACACGGCGGTACTACAACTTCTGTGTCAATCTTTGACGACATTTGGCCCAAATAAAACTTTTTCCCATTGACTTACATTAGGAAAGAGACTGTACATCAGCAGATCATGTTCCAGCCCTTACTGTGGGCTTTTGGGACTACATGTTGCCAAAAGAGCAGAGCAGAAACCAGAGCCATTGACAGAACATTAACCACTTCATTGTTTGTGCGGTTTGTATTTATTATTACCAGCCAATGCACAAATGTTAGCTGTGAGCTTACAATAGCCCACTTAATCTTTGTGCTCTGCCAGACTCTTCCAGAGCTAAAAACTCAACAGAAACCCAGTTATTTCTTTATTTTTCCTTCGTTTTTTTGTATATTTATGAAGTATATTCATTAAACCCCGGGATAAGCTAGCATTTTACACTGAAGTTGAACCGTTTTGACCTTTGCATGACACATTCAGTGATAGCAAAGATATTTCTGCCTGGTTATTATTCTGGCTTCTTTCCTCCAAAGTTATTTTTATTTCTGTTCTTGGCTGACTTTTTTGGATGGTCGTGTGAAAGGTGATTTTCACTTTCCTTCTTACAATAACTTGTAAATCTGAGAGGAAAATGTAAAATTATTATAGACGCCTTTTCATATCCACTGTTACACTCCGCGTTATTCAGTCAATTCTGGATTAATTACCGACGGAGGATGTCAGAGACGCTATGTATCGAGGGGTCGAGCCCAAAAATAATTATCCAGCGTGTTAATTGGCAGTCAAAAATCTGCTCATGAATATAAATGAAGAGAAGCGTTGGAGGGCCGCGTGTGGAGGCGTGTGGCGCAGTGCGTTGGTGTTGGGATCAGGGGGTCACAGGTTAAAACTCCACTGCAGTCAGCATGTCGTTGTGTCCCTGAGACACTTCTCCCCAAATTGCTCCTGTGGGGATTGTCCACAGTATTGAGTATGTAAGTCGCTTTGGATAAAAGCGTCTAACAAAAATAACATGGAATGTAAAGGAAACACACACTGCTGACCCTGAATAACCACAGTCTCAGGGTCTGTGGATTTTGTGGAACTATTGTCCTACCTGTGCACTTCTTGGGACTCCCGGGTCTCTTGCCATGTTGTCCAAGTTTGCAGACAAAGTTCTCCTCCCAGAACTCGGCGAACCAGACATTCCTGCGGTTGTTGGACAGCGAGCGGCTCTTGAAGTACCGATCAAACGCTGTGGAAGAAACAAAACATTGTGTTATGACGCTGATGATCTCCTTCTAAATGTCCTCCTCTCTAAAGGGTCTTTAGTTCATATTCAAATATTTTTCTTTTTGTCTTCCTGGTTTGTTTTTGAAGACGGGTTCAAACCTGGCCCTCAACACATCCAAGAACCTTTAGTTATGCACAAGAAGGAAAAGGAGAAGATAGAGATGCAAAGAAAGAAGTGGGAAAGAGAAGCATTTTGCTGCTATGGAACAAAATGTGTTTCATCTCTGACGTTGAGACGATCAAAATAATAGTAAAAACATCAAATATTTCAAATGCAGTGTGTTTTACATTGCTTTTTGCTCTTCATTGATTGTTTGAAAGTTAATAGAGTGGTGCAAGAATGAGTCCTCACACCCGGAAATTACTTTTGCCACTTCTTGTTCCCTAGTCTGGAAGTCAATGGTTTTCTGAATGTGTTTTTGGTTGTAAGCCTGAAATAAGGTCTGTGGTTGACACAAGCTGAGGAGATTTCAAAGTTTTGTTCTACGACATAAAACATGTCAGTAAACACCCCACTCTTGAAGTCATGTGACCGTGCTGTAGTTCCTATATAGCCCAACATTAGCCGCCTTTAGCTTAGCGGTGGTGACGTGAAGTCATGTGACCGCGCTGTAGTTCCTATAGCCCAACATTAGCCACCTTTAGCTTAGCGGTGGTGACGTGAATTCATGTGACCGTGCTGTAGTTCCTTTATTGCCCAACATTAGCCACCTTTAGCTTAGCGGTGGTGACGTGAATTCATGTGACCGTGCTGTAGTTCCTTTATTGCCCAACATTAGCCACCTTTAGCTTAGCGGTGGTGACGTGAAGTCATTTGACCGTGCTGTAGTTCCTTTATAGCCCAACATTAGCCACCTTTAGCTTAGCGGTGGTGACGTGAATTCATGTGACCGTGCTGTAGTTCCTTTATTGCCCAACATTACCCACCTTTAGCTTAGCGGTGGTGACGTGAAGTCATGTGACCGTGCTGTAGTTCCTTTATTGCCCAACATTAGCCACCTTTAGCTTAGCGGTGGTGACGTGAATTCATGTGACCGTGCTGTAGTTCCTTTATTGCCCAACATTAGCCACCTTTAGCTTAGCGGTGGTGACGTGAATTCATGTGACCGTGCTGTAGTTCCTTTATTGCCCAACATTAGCCGCCTTTAGCTTAGCGGTGGTGACATGAAGTCATGTGACCGCGCTGTAGTTCCTATAGCCCAACATTAGCCACCTTTAGCTTAGCGGTGGTGACGTGAATTCATGTGACCGTGCTGTAGTTCCTATATTTCCCAACATTAGCCACCTTTAGCTTAGCGGTGGTGACGTGAAGTCATGTGACCGTGCTGTAGTTCCTTTATAGCCCAACATTAGCCACCTTTAGCTTAGCGGTGGTGACGTGAATTCATGTGACCTTGCTGTAGTTCCTATATTGCCCAACATTAGCCACCTTTAGCTTAGCGGTGGTGACGTGAAGTCATGTGACCGTGCCGTAGTTCCTTTATAGCCCAACATTAGCCACCTTTAGCTTAGCGGTGGTGTCGTGAAGTCATGTGACCGTGCTGTAGTTCCTATATTGCCCAACATTAGTCACCTTTAGCTTAGCGGTGGTGACGTGAAGTCATGTGACCGTGCTGTAGTTCATTCATAGTCCAACATTAGCCTTTTCATTCTTCTAAATGTCTTCCTCTCTTTGTGCTCTGCTTCCTGACTCACCGTCCACAGACACCCTCTTGGGGAGGATGGTGACCGCGCCCTCGGCCACTCGCTCCTGCTGCACCACGGGAGAGATCTTAGACCCCCAGCTGTCAGACCCCACCCACAGGAAGTGACCCGTCAGGTTGTTACGTTTCGCCGCATCCAGGATTCGCCTGCAGGAGAAACGGAGAGAGTTACTACCCGTTAAATATTAATGACATTTCTGTTCATATTTTATGAAACTGAGAGTCTACAACCATGCTACAAGCTGTTCTGAAACACAGCTGTGCTTTGAGTAATGGTGAAATTGAGAGAAGTACATTGAGTACAGTAAGATTTAGACATACGTGTTCATTTTACAGATACTTCTATACTTTTCGTTTAATAAGCACTAAACTGAAGTCCAGATGTCTTTTGCTTAATTGTTCATAAACCAAAGGAATGATAGCAGTCCAATGTTGTTGAGACATGTTATCCAATATGAACCTCATGCAGTGTCTTTCTTTCTATGTCAATTATTAAATTAAATTAAAGGTCAAACGAGATGGTCTTTTTCAGTCATCTATTTTTCTCTGTGAGGTCTCAAGATTCTCTATGCGTGCGATTCAGAGCCTCAGATTAATACTGATATCTGTGTGTGTGTGTGTGTGTGTGTGTGTGTGTGTGTGTGTGTGTGTGTGTGTGTGTGTGTGTGTGTGTGTGTGTGGCTCCTAGTTCACTGAGATAATTGGAAGCTTGTTATCTTAATCTGCACTCAACAGCCGGTGGATGAACTGATTGAGAATATACAGACACAGAATTGTGTGTGTGCACGTGTGTGTGTGTGTGTGTGTGTGTATGTGTTTGTTTTTAGTGGACGTTGACCTTCAGAAGATGAACAGATTATTTTTACAATTTATTTTCTAAATATGTCAATAAAACTGAACAAAAGTAAATTACACATTTTTCTTGGAGTGAAATGGTAGAAATTGGATTACAAAAGTCTACAGTTATGCTCAAAATGATAATGCTCACATGCTGATGTTAAGCAGATATCATTTTGATCATGTTTACCATCACAGTGTAGCAGGTGAGATTTGCTAATTTGCACGAAACGGTGCTGAGCATGATGGGAATGTGATTACTTTCGCTGCTATTTAATCACAAACACAGTAGAAATTGAGATGTCCGACTGATAAGTGTGCCAGATGAACAAATGAAAGGATCAGTAAACACATTGAGATTCAGCCTAAGGGGGATAAAGACATGTCTGCAGGAAAGTTTACAGGAACCCATTTAAAGTTGTTTACTCCGAAGGGGAAAGGTCAGAGATTCTCTAAAGTCTGTAGGCTTTAACTTCCTGGGAACAAGAATACTGAAACAACACATAATGAAAATCCATTCACCAATCCACAGTTGATGACATAGATAGATTTAGAGGTTTAAAAAGTGTAAGAGCCACAAATACTGTTGGGCTACAAATACAGAACAATTTATTTTCCTTTTGTTTAAAGTCTTTTACATTTCAAGCCTCGCCATGGCTCTCATATCATCATCGTTATACCGTACGATTTTGCAAAGTATGATCATTTGTGTTGAGAAGATTGAATTCACCTGTTTGTCATCTGCAAACTTCACAAAATCAAACTTGTGTGTGTGTGTGTTTTTTACCGGATGTCGTCCTCGTTGGCGAACATGATGACGGCGCGAGCGTTGGGCGTCTCGATCAGACGCAGGATGATCTTGTCGAACTCGCCGGGTCTCGGCTCTCGAGGAATCTTTAGAGACTGAGCGATGCAAACCCCACCTGAGAGAGAAATGAAGAGAGACATTGAGTATTAAAAAAAGAGCAAGACTTATTGACAGTCGGGTTAGTCAATATTCAAGTTGGAGAGCAACCAATCTGAGCTGGACGTCGTTCCCGATCCACATGTCATACGGTATGATGCAATTATACTTTATCGTCAGACCAAGTCTTAAATATGTCCATCACATCAGCTCCATTTGCATCCTCAACAAGGACACATATTAAGACAAGAATCAAGGGAACAGAACTTTAACATAACGGTCACTGAAGATAGTTTTTCAAAGGTCCTTTAACGTGCATTTGATCTGGTGGAGTACAAAGAGGGTCTGTGAATAAAGTAGCAATTAATAAAGTAGCAATACAACAATGTTTATGTTTATTAAGGATCCCCATTAGCTTTTGCTCTCGACAAAAGCTACTCTTCCTGGGGTCCGACACTTAAAACAATACAACAATAATACAACAATAATACAGCAACATTTGGGACATAAGTCCTGACATCATTAACAACATTACCAATATCATCAACAACATGCGATCAAATTAAATTAGGGTTCACAGCTCACAAGGGTACATGGTCATTAGTAGATGGCCCTTCAATCTCGTCTTGAAAGAGGCTCTGGACTCTATTTCAGTAAGGTAGTTTGGCAATGAGTCCCATTCCTTTATAGCTCTATAAGACACAGAAGAGTTCAGAAGATGTGTCCTGGGTTTAGGTGCCAGTAATGTGAAAATACTCTATTAAAAGTCAAATCTCTGCATTCACAATCTCAGTCAAGTTAAAGTACTAAGCTGTATGCAAGGGCTGGTTTGCCTTCGCTGTACGGAGGCTCAGTCACTGGTACATTTTTATATACAAAGCCATGTTAGGGAAACTTCCATCTTATATCTGCTCCCTGATCTCACGGAGAATTGTAAGTGGCTACTGCCTGAGATCGAATGCTGTGGTTTTATTAAATGTGCCAACTGCTAGGACTGTCTTAGGGAAGACAGCTTTTTAGATTGCGCAGCCTCTGTTCTGGAATAGTCTGCAATTGAAATGGAAACTGAACAATCTGGTGCCACTAAATGTTTTTTAAAGCTCGGTTGGATGCTACCTCAACGGAAGCTGTTGGTACCTGTTATGTGGATTAAGTATGTAAATTGTAAAGCCCTGTAATAGATGCTGTATGATGTCCTTTTGTTGGTTCTGTTTTGTTTTTCATGTTTCATGTGAACCTACTTGAGCAGGTCTCCCTTGAAAAAGAGATCAATGATCTCAATGGGATTCACTGGATAAATAAAGGTTTGAAAGGAAGCATGGCCAATGTGACAGAAGTCAAACTTACATTTTTTCCCCAAAGGCCAGCAGCAGGGGGCCATTCCACTGATTGCAAAAATGAAGTCTATGAAAAATAACCCCACTTCTTTATTGATTTATCACACACACACCACACACACACACACACACACACACACCACACACACCACACACACCACACACACACCACCACACACACACACACACACCACACACACACACACACACACACACACACACACACACACACACACACCACACACACCACACACACACACACACACACACACACACACACACACACACACACACACACACACACACACACACACACACACACACGCACACACACACACACACACACACACACACACACGTTTATGGTCCTAATCTCTAGTTTCAAGCCTTCTTTAATACAGCGTTCATTTTGAAAATTACCATCCAATTTATAGTAAAATAGACGATAACGTATTGTGTGTTTTGGGTATGGCTAACTTGTGATTGACAGGTCACTACCATGGTGTTTTCCACCCTACAATTTTAACCCTTTCACAGTTTGTGTTTTCAGATCTTTAAAGTTAATTGTAACATTTTGGTCGCCTTAAAAATGTCTTATTCGAGATGACGACGGCCAAAAAGCCAAACTTGAGCCTCCATAACCTCCACAAACAAATGGACGTCAAAGGTTACTACTTTCATTTCCTATATGTATCAGCACCAACAGTATTTTTTGTAACAAGACGCCATTGACAATGACGATCTGTACACAATCTACATCCATTTAACTGTTAGATATTTAAGTCTGGACCCCAATACTAGACTGGCACCCAAAAGGTAACAGATATCAAGTGAATAAAGAATAGAAGCATCCCATTTGACAAAATAACTGAACTTCCTGAACAGTCTTCGTTCTTGTGTCCCTCTTCTATCAGCACATCTCTTCTAACCCTTTTCCCATTGTGTGTCTGCTGTAATGTTTTAATTATCTTCTCTGTTTGTATCGTTCTTATCTTCACGCCACTGCTGCTGTGATTTATTACCACAGAGAATATTAAACCGTCATCTGCAGGGGCTCAAACAAAAGGTCAAAGAGTTTATTAATACTGCCAGACACTACTAAACGCTGTCAAATGATCACTAACATCTCAGTAAGGATTCCTAAATGCAGCATCTGCTCAAAATAATGGCTTAAATATAACTTGACTTTGGGTTGATTCATTCTTTGTTGTAGAGCAGAGGACGAGGACGATGGTTAGTGGTAAAAAGGGTTGAAGATAAACTGTTATCCAATTTTCTATGTTTGTACCTGTATATCTTTATCTCTTAATGACATCTTTGGAGAGAGATAGACTGGGTCAATTCTCTCCATAGAAAAGCCAGCAACATCATCACGTGAATGCAACGTTAGGATATTTGGTCCGATTTCCACACGCAATCGGACCAAATTCATCACATTTTGAAAGTGATCATTTCCCAGAGGTTGTGACACTCAAAACTATTTGTCAAACTTTTTAAAGTCACACAATTGGCCACGTGGCAGATTATGGAGCCCAGCGAGCTATAAAACAGTATATACTTGTTAGGAAAATCTCACTCATCACCGGCTTGAGCTTCAACATCAGGATCCATGTATCTGTGATCCTCTCCAGAATGGAAGGAGTCATCACATACAGAGCATCAACTAGTTCCTGAACAGTGTCCTTCACATGCTGATATCCAAGAGAGGGAGTTACACAGTCACAAGATGGAGGAATAGAAAGCAGTATTCAATGTTTACTTCAGATTAGCTCCACGTCAGAAATGAGCATGCTTGATGTCTCTCTCCATAGAGGCTGAATCATCATGTTAATCACATAGCTATCATCTGCCTCAAACAGTCCTGATGCTCTTCCAGGTAATCACACATCCTGTCATGTTCACAGCTACAGTTGGGATACCTTTGTTATCATGCTACTCTCATACTGGAAGAGGACATTCAGTGTTTTCCCAACAGTACTATATATGTATACCGTAGTATTGTTGGAGGGGTTGTACGGACGGAAAAACGGTGCACAATCTCAGTCATTTAAAGTTCTGATTCTTTTCGAGTTTCAGGAACAATTTCCAGTCATGTTAAATATGTTGGAAACAAATGTCTCCTCAAACTGTCATTTGATGTTAAATCTCCCATTTCAGAGATTGTTCAGTTCCTGGCATAGCGGGCAACATATTCTCACGTAATGACAACAAAATAGTTAAATATCCCGTGCGTTCTTCTTCATCCAGTTTCATTCGTGTCTTTTAATGTAATGACTTGTTTTTTCTGCTGCCTGTTCTACGGCTTCCCTTCGAGGTTCAGTAATAAAAATGGATGTTTTCTCTTCCTCACATCATTAAACTCTCTCGGTCGCTGCAAACACATTTTGAAGTGTGTGATATGGGACGGAAAAACAAGAGCAGCGGTGGAGTTCTGAAGATGAACTTTGTTCCTCTGTCATGAAGAGCAGCAAAGAGGCTGCAGACGAACCTCACACGGAAGCAGCTCCGCTTTAATTGGCTCGGGAGTGGATTCCTTACTTTTTTTTGGACCCAGCAACGCGCCGACCGATTATTCGCAAGAGACCTTTAGGGAAAAAAGAAACTAAGAAAATAATCACTTCTGTTTGGTCTGACCTCCATTGTTTAAACAGCAGAGCCGCCAGAGATGTCTTTATAACTACAGCTTTGGAGTTTAAAGGTTTCTGCAGCAAAGAGATAACAAGTGAAACGTCAGACCTAACATGTGAGACATTCCCACAGAAAGCGCCCGGGTATCTTCTGTTTCTGTTGTTACTTGCAAACCAAAAGGTACTTTTATTCAACATACAGTATGTGGAAAACGTTTCCAAAAAGAACATAAAATAAAGTCAAATAAATCTTAAATCATCCCAAAACGTTGTGTACAAAACATAGATGGATAGATGGTGGTACTAAACCAGAGGAACTAAGACAAGCGTTTGATCCAGAAGTGGGAAAAGGGGCGGGGATAAATACGGTGAAATAGTTAGAAATAGCTAATTCATACTTGAGTTAAGGCCAACGTGTGTTTTTTTAAGTCTGAGACTCCAGGGGCCTGTACTACGAAGCTGGTTCAACCTAACCTGGATATGTTTGAGTTAGCCGGTTGGCCTAATCCAAAACATACGCGCTCTCGCTAAACTGTACTACGACGCTGGTTATCAAGTGGATCGCTCAAGCCAGCCGTGTCCTATCTAGTTAGGTGCGCGTTCACATAAAAGGGGTGGTATCTGGAGCAGTCTACCAATCACAGACATGGAGAAGCGTACTGACAGCGCAGCGTCATACTTCCTGAATGAAAAGTCAACTATAATATTAGACATATGAAGAAGTTAAACTTTAAACATCCATGACTTAAACACTTGATCCAGGATCAAAGCCACAGAGCTGCACCTGCAAGGTGAATACAGCTGGGAACAGAACAAGTGTTTGAATGCGTACATTAACAGGTTTATGATATCACGGCCCCGTCTAAAACACGATCTGACTTTAATTACATTTGTCTCGAGTGTTTCGTCAACTTAATGTGTTGCTTAAAATAATACTTCTGCGTACAGTATGTGACACTGAGTGTTGCACGGCCCGATACGGCTCAGCTGACTCAGATCAGGAAATATCTGATACATTATGAAGTGATATGCCGCGGACTGTACTTAATGTTACT